GTGAAGATCTCATGAGTGTTGCAACAGAAAAGCAAAACACTTTCATTGATAACTGTGTCTACAAAGAATTACTTCAATAAAATCGACTCTGTGATGTAATGCTGTGATGATAGTTCATTTATAAACTAAAATTTCATTAATATCGTTTTTATCATGGATGGTGAACATTATTGAATGTGAAATATGAGTACATTGTTGTAGAACTGTCAAACAATTTCAGAAAAGGTCGCAGGCCCAATAGTCATCCGCAGGAACTAGTAGTTATACCTGCCTGGAGGGCGGGTATTTCTGCTAGTTATTATAAAATAGACTATAAAACTTTTTTAATCATAGAAATTATTTTTATTTAGAAAACAAATACAAAGCTTTAAAATGTTCTTAATTCATATTTTTCACCTTCTGCCTTATTATAGAAGACATTTGTATTGATTTAGGGATCTTAGGTTTTGAGAAAAAAAAATATAACATATTTTGTATCTGTGTCATTGCACCATAATTTCTTAAAACAACCATTTTTCCCGGTTTTAATGTTTATACAATTAAATTTTAAATTATTTGAATTGTATGTTTTACAAAACTAATACTTCACTAAATTAGTCTATAAGGGCTTGTTAAAAGTATACTGTAATGAATAAAAGCTATAACAAAACAAAGTATTACTTTCGAAATGAATGTCAGGGTTGATCACTTGAAAAACGTGTTACTGTCAGTTATATACAGTTGGGACTAAATACATCAAAATGATTTGATCCCTAGTTTACAGCTGACTAACATTTAAACTGTTTATTTTTTAGTATACTGAATGGAATAATATATGTTTGAAGAAGAACATAAGCTGAATGAACTTTAATGATTCTTGCTTAAACATTCGACGTTTTTTTAACGAATAACCAATAAATCTCAAAGTTTATTTGAATTCATTATATAAAAACTAATTTTGGAATCAATCTTACAGAGGCTACATTAAGTTGACTACATTTTAAAGACTCAAAAACGTGCATTAAACGTATTGTCTTAAATCAATCTTCAAATACAAGTAATGATCATTAATTCAGTTTCAATATTATTCTATTATCACTAAGAAAAAATTAAGCAATTATTTTTTTATGTATTTTTAGGATGGAACAACTATAATGCAATGAAGTAAGAAAAACAGGAAAACATGGTCACAATATATTTTCTGTCGTTTGAGATATTTTTTATTACTTTCATTGTTATTCTGTATTCCTGATAACCCGTGTAACTTATCTATAAACAATGTATTAAGTTTTCGACTGTAAATTTCCTATACACTTTTATGTCTTATCAATTTGTGTTATATCCTATTTGTTAATCTATACAGTAATATAAGGGTATTTTTGTTGGAATATAGAAATATCTTAAAACATATATTTTGTGCAACTACGTCATTGTACATCAAATGTATTAGTTTGTGTAAGGAACCAAAAAGAGTATCCTATTACAAAATGCAAAAAATATAAATGTACTTTATTCTAATTTATTGTATTAAGTTGTTTTCAAATCTTTATTTTTATTAACATTTTTTGTCAAGCTGAAAAAACTCTTAAAGGTACGATTTTTGTAAATAAAACGATCTTTTGTATCTCATTTTGTGCCATATGTTAATAACTATAAATGGATGGCCCTTCACATCTCTATATAATACAAAATAGCAAATTGTATGTAAATTTTTCCAGTAATATAGGAAATGTAATTCAAGTTATATGTTTGTTTTGGGTAGTTTTCAACTTAATAAAGAGAGCTGATTATGATGGTCCATATATATAATTATGTTAGCTACTTTTTAAAAATTAATTTGATTAGCCGATAAGAGCCCTAAATTATGTTACAGTTGCAAAGTAAAAGTCTATTTGTTATGAATAATAACATTTACTAAATAAATTGTACTACTTAAATTAAAGAAATACTGAGACAAGGATGAAATTGCTAAAATGGTAGCTTAATTTTATAACCACAAAGTTTAATAACGGTAGATATGACAAAATGTAACCTTAAACAAAATGCCAGTCTTTTAACTTTAAATTACGAAATTTCCAATATCAAGGATCTTAGTTGCTTGATATTTTTAGGCCTATATCATTGAATTGTAAAAATAATTAACGAATTCAAGATTTAGTTTTTTATAAAATTTAAAGCAGAAAGTCTAAATTTGTGATTGATAATATTGTAAGAAATTATATAAAGTGTTTATATTTACAATATTTTTCTAATTTTATTTCTGAACTTTAAGCTTTTCCATTTTCCCCATATATTATGCATCATGTAAATTTTATTATAAGGGGGGGAGGGATATTGAAATAACAACTGTTGTCCCCAATTCTTTAATCTCTACGTCTTCTAAATATTTACACTTTTCGGGAAAGGAATAACAGGTTTTAGCGATGTAAAGTTAATCTAAAGCTCATACTGTTTTTGTGTGCTTTAATACTCTTATAGATAATTCTTGAGAAACCTATAACTTTACAAGTTACAAATATCACTTCCTTTCATCATTAGAATGAAAGACAAGTGGCTATAAATAAAATTTTCTTCAGTTTTTCTCGGTCGTTAGGTATTTTTTCAAATCAACACGTGTTTCCCAAACTTGAAAATAGAGGAAAAGTTAAAGAATAAAATATGATATTTGTATCTGTATTTCTCTGATCCAGAATTTGAGATGTCTAGATGCACTGTACAAGGTAAGGCTTACGATAGGAATCTCTATTTTTCAGTATATTTCAGCCACTGAAAAAAAAAGTAACTGGCTCATGAAGGCATGTTATGTACAATGTTAGCTACAGAACTATATTTAAATTGATTAATTTCTGTTTAACTCTTTCTTTATCTCTAAAATTTTATAGTATTATATCAACCTTTCATAGATGCTAAATATTTTTCAAAATATCCTAGGTGTTATTATTATTACCAATAATTTTGATTAAGAAATTAATATGTTTATTGGAGCAATTGAGAAACTATTCACAAAGTGTTAAGCATAGTTCTTAAAAGTTGACATTCTGATAAGGCAACATTAATCTTACAAACAGTATTGTAAATCTTCAATAGTAGAAATTAGTTATGAAGTTAGTGTTAACATAAAAGTATACTTATAGAAAAACAAAACAATTAACGTAAAAACTACATCCATGTGTTCTTATAAAGTATATAGTTACATATCATTTAAGGATTATGGTGCACAAATATGTAATGTGAAAATATTCGAATAAATCTTGATGTTTTCGCTTGTATCTGATCTCATATATATATATATATATATGTACAAAATATGCTATGTATCTAATGTTTATCGTATATTTATATAGGTGCCATTTTGTATACATATTTACACTTATGATATACACTTAATTTTTATTATATCAAGTTTATTAATTGGGTACACTTACCATGGTGTTTTCAAGGTTCCACTCCAAAACACGAAAAATTAAGTAAGAAATCAGAAAGAAGAATGGGCACAGGTTGGACCTGTGGTAGAGTTCTGAATTTGAGAGATGGCGAGCTAGTTTCGAATACGTGCGATAACACAAAATATTCTCCCCACTTTAAGCTGTGGTTGAGTTATAAGGGTGACAGTCAATCCTTTAGTGTGAGTAGTGAGTGGTAGGTGCTGCTGACTGGCTCCATTCCCTTTGGTGGCAGATAGTCTTAGCCGCTTTGTCATAAATACAAATATAATTCAACTTACACTCTTTCATCTCCGAGCACAAAGAAATTACAAAATGTCTCTCGTTGTGCAAACATTAAACATTTAGAACACTACTCAAACAAGGAGTGCTCATTAAACATTTAGAACACTACTCAACCAAGGAGCGCTCATTAAACATTTAGAACACTACTCAACCAAGGAGTGCTCATTAAACATTTAGAACACTACTCAACCATGAAGTGCTCATTAAACATTTAGAACACTACTCAACCAAGGAGTGCTCATTAAACATTTAGAACACTACTCAACCAAGGAGTGCTCATTAAACATTTAGAACACTACTCAACCAAGGAGTGCTCATTAAACATTTAGAACACTACTCAACCATGAAGTGCTCATTAAACATTTAGAACACTACTCAACCAAGGAGTGCTACTGAAACCTGAGAATGACCAAAAACGTCAGACTTTCCACGTTCTTTCGCTTGACGACATATTTCATCGCGCTGTAGTTGTCATTTGTCTGCCTTATTCAAAATTATATTAACATTTCCTTGTGAAATACAAATCCAATTACTAAATCAAAACATTCAAATAGAAAAGACTGAAACAATAACCAACAAAAAATCAACCAATCCACTTCTTATTGAAGATAACGCTAGAAGCGTATATAAATGGACAAGACACCTAATATTTCCATTTTAAGGTAGAAACTTACTGTCACCCTTTACGAGTTTTTCAATAAGTAATTTACCACATCTTCGGTCACATCGCTGAACGTAACCACCGTATACAAATTCCGAGATATTAAATGAACATTGCAAATGTGTCAACACATACTGGATTATCTGGCTAATCTATATATCAACCTCAAAAAGTCTAAAGTATTCTAAAAGATAAGGAAAACCGTTTTTGGATACTTTCGTCCAACAAAGCGAGACCAGTTTTGATGATGAATAAATCACGTTAACTTTGGAAGCTTTGTGCTTCTTTCATCAAATGCTAACATCTAGAGCCCTCACCTCACTAGCAACTGCTCTATTTTATCAATTATAATTCTCCAACACCAGGCAAGTACTTAATAAAATGTACTTCATCTTGACTTCATCAAGAAGAAGAAGAAGAAGAATTAAAAAAAAATATTGATAAACATTTAAACAAGTAAAATCTCTACGAAAACTTACTATAACGCTAGTTCAGCATGAATTTGTAAAGGATTATTTGTTTTAAGAGTCCGGCTTATTCAACCTCTAAGAAACACTTTTCACAGAATCGCTTTCAGAAGTACTGTTAGTCTTTCTCATCCTTAGCTTCTAAAGATAAAATTCCTAAACTAATGAAGTCATGAATTGTTTACAAATATACCTGTCCTTTGTACTTGAAAGTTTTTTCGCCTCAACTACCCGATGTTTACTCAAAGAATTAATGAATACTCGTCACCTGTTCCGCATAACACTATGTGAGTTTGCAAAATGAGTGTAATATTCTTTTTTTGAAGCTCTTTTTAAAGAAACTTGCGTATAAAAAATATATTGCTATCAAGACAATCAATATCCAGGATTCTTTTATGTCTAAGATAATGAAAAATGTCCTTAAAAGTTCTGACATTTTTCTAGTAATAATTTTAAAAGTAAAGAAAATACCCTACTTTTGTTAACAATTAATCTTCGGTTATAATAAATAACATGAAATCAGAAATAGTAAAATATAACTTAGATAACGTTTTAGCATATACTAATAATATCAAATATAGTTAAAACTATAAAACAGCATGATTTAATAACGGTAACGACACAATTAAGAACTATGGTAAACAATGATGATGAGAACGATATTAATGTCTTTGACAAAATAGAATAAGTGTTAAGGATGAAAAATTATAAAGCAAATCACAACTTAATGCAAATACGGCTTTTAATACTTTTTCTTGTAAAGAGTTTACTTAGTCCATTATGTTGAGCATTCGCCGAATGTTTCTTGATATTTAGTTATACTGTCTTTACATTCCAACTTTCGTAAAAATATTGGGGTCTCTGTGATTTCTTCATGTAACAAAAGAATGAATTTTATAGATTTACCACATCAGTGAGCCAGCTGCGTAAGTGGTATGTCTGTGGATTTATACCGCTAGAAACCGGGTTTCGAAACCCGTGGTGGACAGAGCACAGATAGCCCTTCGTGCAGCATTGTGCTTAAAAACAAACAACACCTTCAATAAAATTATTAGTATTTAACAATCCAATTAACTTCCTGGCATTGTTATTTTACTGAAACTAATAAAATATAAACTCATACTTCCAACAATAAATATATCATTGGCTATTCATTGCAATGGATTTTCTAACCATCGAAAAAAAATTAATATTCGACTTTCGATTGCTGTATAACTTTAAAAAGGTAGTTTAAGCTTCTTGCTGAACATACGTATACATTTAAAAAAATAATTATTTGTCTGCTAAGTCTGAACTTAAGTTCAGCGTACTCCAAAATACTCTTTTCAGGTCATTCCTGTACGACGTGTAGATTAATTATATTCCCTTTCTTAGCCAGAAATTAATCCTTGTTTAGCAACCATAACACTCTATTTACATTATTGTTTTAGTGCAAAGCTATACAATAGGCTATCTACACTTTGTCCACCGCGGATTGTACTGTTGTAAGTCCGTAAACTTAGTGCTGATCCACTGGTCGACAATACATTATTGTTAAATAAAGGAATATGATGCAAAGATATATTGATATCCTCTCGATCTTCACCAAAGATATGTACAAATTAATAACAGAAGTAAATTATACTCTCTTAAACAGAAACATTCAAACAAATTTACTGGTTCATCCACATAGATTTTTCAGTAAATGATTAAAATACTTTAGAGATAAAGCCCGAACATCTGCTCGTTTAAATTAGGTGAACATATTAAACCATTGATTTGATAACTGCGAATTTAACATAACAGTGTTTAATATTATTGACATAAAATATTATATTTATGTCTATTTGCTCTAAGTTCTTTTTATATGTTAATGCAATAATTAAAGCCCCCAGTGACACAGCGGTATGTATGCGGACTTACAACGCTAGAATCCGGGTTTCGATACCCGTGGTGAGCAGATAGCCCATTGTGTAGCTTTGTGCTTAATTACAAACAAACAAACAAGCAATAATCAAAAAATCTTGTCATCTTAGGATATATTCATGCAATTCATGGTAGGTCAGACATTTAATATATATGTACATATGTCATGCTAGAATATAACTGTTTCTCCATATGGGGTCTATAGGCAAAGAAGAACGAACGTGGGCTGATGGGTTATAATTGAACGTTAGATAAGAGCAAAGTCTCCTCTATATCGCTCCTTTGCCCTTGCTATGTTGATGAACCAAAAACATAAAAGTTGTTTGTCCTTGGAAGCTTCGTTCTGCACTTTAATCTTAAGTACATGTAAATATGGACAAAGTTTCTAGGCCACTTTGATTCGGTGTCAATATCATTATTACTTGGGCTGGGCGTAGTCTAGTAGTTAGCGTGGCGTAGTGTGAATCCGAGGGTCCATGTTTCGTGTGCTGTTGTCTAAAATCTGCGCAATGCACTCTGGGGTCGTGAGTGCATTATAAGAGTGACAGTCAAATACCACTATTTAATCAGAGTAGCACACGAGTTGGCAGTGGGTGGTGTTGAATAGCTGTCTTCACTGCTAAATTAGGGACAGTTAACGCAGATAGCCCTCGAGTAGCTTTACGCAAAATTCAAACCAAACCACCCATTGTACAGTGAGCGTCACTAGGTAACTTGGAAAGCAAGCTTGCCACTTTCTTTCAATTGTTGATTTTTTAACCACAAGACTGCAATGACTACTGATAACCATGGTTAATCCTAACCATATGGATCAGAAGTCCAGCAGTTCAACCAACTGCCAAAGCTGTCTCTCACTTCTAAATCTGACACTTCCTCATTTGGCATATCTTGAACAGCCAAGTTAGTATTATCACCTCTTTCCTCTTACTCTGTTGGGTTGGGGTAGTGCAAGGCAGCACTATCTTCTTCCTTTGACTTGCTTGCCAGTCTCCTCTTCTGATTTCTGATCAAGCTACTGCACTAGAGGTTCATCATTAACATATTGATCAACATATACTACATGCTTTCACATGCGTATTGATTACTGTAACTTGTACATCATGCGCATCTTGTCAGAGCATGGGATAAACCCCTGTCCAACTAAAGCCAAGCTGTTACAATGCCATTAGCACGTACCAAAGCCACACCTAGTCTCGATGTTAGTACACCATTTCCTATACTATTTTATCATAACTGTGTGTCAATTAATTCAAAACCAAACTACTCCACATGTTCTTGCAAACACTATGAGATGTCTACACTAGAGGAGAACAATACATCACATTGACAGGAAGCAGGGTTTCCACTAAAATGTGAGAATGTTCATTGAAGAGCCTGTAGATCTCTGCTCAGTTGGGCGCTATGACATCAAGGCATATGGTGTGTGCTCATCCCAATTGGTTTGGCTGGAATTAACACATTTGGTAAACATGCATGTGATGGTTTGTATTACTTATTTTAGTAAACCA